GATTAACACCTTCCACAATAAAAATGATTAATCAACCTCTCATAATTACAAAAAAATGAACAAAATGAAAAATTATGATTGGTTGAATGCGGTTTGCACGGTTTGTACAAATTGAGTGGTTTGCATTTGATCGCTCCCCTATATATATATATATATATATATATATATATATATATAATCGTGTTCCGTAATCATATGTGATTTGGCCTATCTTTCTTATTTAGATCATATTCTCGTGTGAACCCCCTCAATATGCATAATCATGTGTGTATATATATATCGCATTTGCCAATGATGTTTTTATTAATCAAGAATGAAAAATGGGGGCAAGAATTATATGTATATATATATATATATATCACATTTGCCAATGATGTTTTTTATTAATCAAGAACGAAAATTGGGGGCTAGAAGACGATTAGATATCATCCTAATCTCAATCATAATGATGCCGACCAGGGATCAGCAAATGTTGTTTTTAAGATTTCGCTGGCACCTTACGGAAAATCAAAGTTTTTGGGTTCCAAGAGAAGTATGGTAGCAAGGCTGAAACTTAAAGAAATTGATAGAAGGTCACCACCAGGAGTGGAGCTTGCGGCTTAATTTGACTCAACACGGGAAAACTCACCCGGTCTAGACATAGTAAGAATTGATAGATTGAGAACCTCGATGCGTGACCCGCATCATCATGTCCTAGGCACATCTGGTTGCTAGCCGAGATTGGGAAACCAACCGTGCTTTGAATGAGGATAACCAAACTTGCCCTCCAATGGAACCTCGATAAGGGATATATATTGTACTCATTCCAATTGCCAGACTCGTTTAAGCCTGGTATTGTTATTTATTGTCGCTACCTCATTGTGTCAGGATTGGGTAATTTGCACGCCTGCTGACTGAACGCCTCTAAGTCAGAATCCGGGCTAGAAGCGACGTGTGCGTCCGCCTGTTTGCCGACCAGCAATAGGGGCCTCGGCCCCAATGGCACGTGACGTTGGCCAAGCCCGTGCAATGGACGAGTCATACGGGCAACCTTGAAGTACAATTCTCATCAAGCGACGGGTAGAATCATTTGCAGACGACTTAAATACACGACGGGGTATTGTAAGTGGCGGAGTGGCCTTGCTCTAGAATTGGGTTCAGATGAGAACAAGAGTTAAGGTAAGAAGCGTAAAAAGGGATTAAAAAGAGAGGTTCAAGAGAAAACCCCTAAAAAATGAAAAAACTGGGGAACACCCCAATAATTATTTACCTGTATGGTATGCATAGGTATATGCACACAAGTAATTGAAGATGTTTTCTGGCTTTTATGCATGTCTGCATGTTATGCACATGTGTACTAGAAAACTATCTGCAAACTTCTTGTATGCACATTTGTATATTAGTCAGATTAATGGTTACTGTAGTGTCCTTAAGTTTTTTCATTTTTTTTTTTTTTGTTATGATTTCTATTTTATAGGTTTTATCATTTTACGTCAATTAGTTGTCGTACAGATTCTTATGAAATGTGACTAATATATTTAAAAATCAGCCATTTGTGATGATCAAGATAACACTTTTAGATTCGAAAACTGATAAAGTTTTATTGGATTGATTCGACATTTTAGTATATCATTTTACAAATTTCAGAGATCGTGTGATTTTTATGAAATGTGACTAATATATTTCAAAATCAGGTATTTATGACTATCACAATGACATTTTCAGATGCAAAACCCGATATAGTTCTATTTATAGGAATGATTTTATATTAAATATATCGTTTTACCAATTTCAAGTGATCGTTTGGATTTCTTTTCTAAATGCAACTAATATATCTTTGAGATCAACGATTTACTACGACACTTTCATATTAGAAAAGCGATAAAGTTTTATTTATAAGGTTGAGTTGATATTAAATATATCGTTTTATTAAATTCATAACTCATATGGGTTTATAAGTTATACAATGCATGTATTTTTGGACTCAGCAATTTACGTAGACTATAATAACGTTTTTAAATTCGGAAAAGATAAAGTTTTTATTATGAGACTCTTTTTATTACAACAATAAAATTACTGTCATTTATGATTATAGCAATATCAAACGAATACCGAAACTTCATATTGAAATAAGTTGAAGAATCCAAATACTGTAAATGTCAAGAAGATCAAAATACGAGTACGAAAATTCATAAAAATCAAAAGGATGTATGACAATAACATGCCTATATATAGGGGTGGAGTGGGGGTCAAAGAAAGAACCTTGGAAGAAAAAAGTTTGAAAAACCCAACCAAACCGTTAAATTGGGATCATCCAACGGATGTGGTTAAAATTAAAGAAGTTGATTATAACACTCTTGTTTATAAAAAAATAATAATTATAAAAAAATAAGTTGCAAATTTTTGAATCCTTAAAATCAAAATAGATGTCCCTATTTGGATGACCGGCATTGTTCGTCACTATAGAATTAGAATACTTGTTTTGGAGAATCCTATGAAACTCACTCCAAAAACATAATAACATCAGCTAACTGATCATTCACTCCCGTTCTTCATTAGACATGACAAACCTCCTCGTCGATTTTTGCTTTTACGATTGTAACAGCTAAACAGAACGTTGCCGCCCTTCATTGATCATCCATCACCATCAACTGCCGATTTCGATGGATGTTTTAATGCTTCCATCCCTTCATATAACCATCCTTCGTGTACGGTTCAAGAAATCCGATGAACTGCAAAATTTATCATGTTACTATCATAATTGGAACATAAATAAAGTTAAAAAAAAAAAAAAAGAATTGTAAGCATGCAGAAATACTCTTCAGCTAACACACATGCATATCTTAAAGCATACAATTATATTATGTATGATTATATATCTATATATATATATATATATATATATATAACCCCAAGGTGTTGGCCTGATAGATACGATTTAGGGTCTAGGTTTAATAGGGTCCGAGTTCAAACTATGTAGATGCAGGGACGTCCATTGGCATGTTAAATGTGTGATTTTGAACGGTGCCCCCAAAGTTTAGGGGCCCAATTTAACATAGTTTAGGGCCTTTCATCAATATTAAATGTAAAACTATAGCTCCCCTCAATGCCTCTCTAATTTCTATTAGAAGACAAATGCGCTTCATCATCACCCCTACAATTTGTGTGATTATGTATATATCTTTGTTATCTTATTTTGCGGTGTAATCAGAAGCTTTAGATGTAACAGGGCCTCCAAAAAGATTGAAACGTTCCTGTGTAGACGCTATTGACTTCTTAGGTGACACGTTGGTTGGCTGAAACATCTAAAGTTTGCTCAGTCATGTGGAACAAGTGTTTTCCAGGGACTTCAAAGACTAGATGGGCCAAAGGTCTCAAAAACAACCGCAAAAGAACTTTGATCCTCTGCAGCTTTAGCCTAACAAGTAAGGTCTAGGATTCGACTCCAATCTCCAAGCACCAGCCACTTGGGACAGGCGATTCACCTCCACATGATGGCCATGGGACCAGTACAATACACAAAAGATGGTGTCATGCCCTTTTTGCAGAAACCACGGGACAACACATGTAAATACATGAGAGACAGTGACCATTTACTCCATCCATTCCAGAAAGGGCCGCCGGGAGGATGCACCAACACTGCTTAGCATTGCATTTTAGCCAAGTAGTTGTTTCACGGGCACGAACCCTCTTATCCATGGCTACTTGATCAGAAGGAAACATTAACAAATTGTGAAAGCACCGTATCCATACCTTGGTCGGCTTTAAGGACCATCGTGCACCATAACCATCCTGAACCCGAATCTCAAAAATGGCCCCATGCGGTGGAACAATATGCACATTTAGCCAGCAACAATGGGCTATCAAGTTGCTGATTACTTTGAAAGCAAGCATATTCTTTTGAGGCTCTGAAAACACCATGAAAAGAAGAAAAGCAACTGATCAGTAATGGATTCCCAAAACACAAATGGTCATTGGCCCAATTAGAGATAGGCCTGGACCAGTCCAAATAAGTCTGATCTGGTCAACAGACAGGTCAAACAGTCCAAAAAACATCCAGACCAGTCCAAGGCAGGTAGGATACGGACTGATGGTCTGGACAGGTCTGGTGTTTATCTGGTTTGTCTGATCAGGTCCGGTCCAGCCTGCTAGGACCGGTCCTAAACCACCTCTAGGCCCAATATTATTAGTGGACACTTCATAACCTAGTTCAGGAATCTTAAATTGGCGTATCAAATTGTTGACCGTTTAAAAGAAGCAATGCATTTTAAAAAGAACATGAATAGTGTAATAGAAAGAAGAATACATAACCACTTCCGGCAAATGATCCCCAAAATTTTCCATTGCTCCTGTTCACATGCTTAGCCAAAGCCCTAGCTCCAATGTTCAGTACCGAACTTTTAACCTCAAGCCAAGAGGAAATCAAGTTGTCACTTAGCACAAGTCAAGTGGATAACATGAATATGAATTAAAATGCACAAGTTACCTGAAGAAATATACAAATGTAAACCAAACAAACCCATTATATCCCACCCAGAGGTAGTGCCGCCCCGCCTGCCGCACCCGGGGGAGGGGGGTGTACGCAGACCTTACCTCTATCCCAAGAGACAAAGAGGTCGTTTTTGAGAAGACCACCGGCTTCCAAAAGAAGAATAAGAAACATATCTATAAAGCACAAATATAGACCACATATAAACAAACATAGAAATATGATTAACTCAATCCGTGAATGATCATATGATATGTATATTAACAAGTCTCCATAAATTTCATTGGAAAACTGTGCAGTTATATTCTTTTCAAAAAATCACAACGAAATAATTCAAATACAACATACAGCACGTATGAAAAGCCATGACCAGTTCTCATCCTACATCTGGATTATGTGGCAGTGAAAAAGAATGGAGTAGCGTTGATCTCGGCAGTGGAAGTGCATCAGGAATTGTTCCTATGGTGTGTGCAATACCAAGAAGCCTCTGAACGCCATCATAATGCAGTGCCTACGCCAAAATGTAGAAATTACACAATACCGGCCATTAACAGAATATGAAGCCACTTACTCTAGTCAAATCGCAGAAAAAGGAAAGCATAGCTTACAATGAGAATAAGATCAATGGGGAAGATCCATATGGCAATATGCAGCATGGAGTCATATATTATCATAAATTATTATGGAAGTTGCTAGAAACTGTATACGACATCAAGGGTGCGTTTGGTGTGTGAACCGGACTAGACTGTCTTGACCGAACTGGACTCGTTATTTGTTTAGTCTTTAGTACGACTAGGACAGGACTGGACTGGACAAGTTCTCTTACGCCTTAAACATAAAAAAGAACAACTAATTGCTATTTTTTTCAGTTAGTTCAGTGCCAAGTTTAGGTAGCCATAGGACAATGGCATTTTCTTAGCTGAAGGTCAGTCAGACAATGAAAACTAAAAGCCCGTAATTTTGCGACTGTAACAAATGCTTATCCGATGCAAATCATTTATCCTATACAAGACATCCTATGGGTTTGCTCCCAGATCACTTTGTCAATGTTTCTGTTCTCACAAAGTAAGTCGATGTCTATTTCTTATTGACAAGTAACTCACTTCATTCTATTTCATAAGTTCTTCTTTAGTGAGCAACTTAGGTTGGACATGGCAGCTTTAGGTATTTCTATGGACATGGCGGCTTTAGGTATTTCTATGGACATGGTGGCTTTAGGTATTTCTATGGGCATGGCCTTAGTTCGGAGCCCTTGGAGATGCACAATTAGGGTGGCGGACTAGGGATGAGGAGCAATAGCTAGCATAGTCGAGTGGAAGGAGCTAGAGAGGTAGTGGATTAGAAATAGGCTTGAATTGGACTAGGGGTGGGTATTTTCCATTCTCTTGCTTATATTTCTGGTGTACCTGCGAACAACCGCTCCACTCTTTTCAGTTGAGATCAGGTCTCCGTACATCTTACCCCTCCCAGACCCCACCTCTGGGGGTGGGATATATTGAGTTTGTTTGCTTCGTTTGGTTTTCTTTAGTGAGCAAGTTTACTCTGATCACGAGTGATTCTTCTCTATTGTACGTATTTACTAAACTTCCTTTTCGATTTGCAATAACACTTCTATTACTGACTATTCTCCATCTGGTATTGGTTGATCAAATACGAAAGACTGGCTTTTGTTTATTACATTGTGCCCTGGAAAGAATGGCTGTGAAATGACCACAACAAGAGGGCTGTGTATGAATGAAAATCATAATATTTCAGGCAACTAACCGAAAGAATGGCCCCCAAATGATCATAAGGCTGTAATGCAGGTTCCGTAAGAAGTATTGCCAGAACACCTTTTGATCTTTCCTTCTCTTCTGAGTAAAACCTTCTATAAATTTGTGTCCCTGAAATTACGTGGCCATTATTTTGATTGTCTCCGACTGCAATTCAACATATTTGGCTGCTATAGATCTAACTATTAGTTCATACAAAGCAGTACAGAAATTAAATAATGTTTTAAATCTGTTAAAGTTAAAAACGAGAACAAAACGCCATCAATAACAGTAACCCATAATAGACTAACAAAAAAAATTGATTTTTTTGTGAGAAAATAAAGGGGGCCTGCTTGATACACATTTCTGGTTGCAGTCCTCACAAGATTAAGCAAATCATTAATCTTGAAACTACTTTTTTAACAACTGCTGAAGCTGCAGCCAATGGCAGGGGCGGACCTATCAAGGCCCTTTAGGTGGCCCATGCCACCGTAAGATTGTTCCTTTTTAATGGAGAAAAAATTCGGTCCTTAAAAGTGAAACTGTATTTTTGATGGTGTGCCCCTATATTTCTTCAAAACAAAGTTTTTGACAAAAGATTGTGATGGTTGAGTTGGTTTAAGGCTCTGGCTTTAGTTTCGTCGTTGAAGGGGTGCAGGTTCAAATCCCATTTATAGCACATTTCATGTTTTTCAGCTTTTAATTTTGGGTTTTTATAGCTTTTGTTTTTCAAAAATAATTGGAGGAAAGCAGCTGTGACAGAGATTGAACCCAAGCCTTTCTTTGCAAATGCAACAAGCCAACCAACGGTTCTAAAATGAATTTGTAAAAAAAAAAAATCACTAGCTTTTTTTCTTATGGTTAAGTGGTGCCACCATTTGAAATTTCTGGGTCCGCCTCTGGGGCCCAATGGGCATACAGAAGAAGGGTGCTTCCTGATTTCATTACTTAACTTATTAATGGCTAGGATAATCGACACTATGAGGGGATGCACCTTGAGTAATGAAACTTTCATAGACAATATAAATCCTTGATAGATAATAGATCGTCACCTTCTTTGACGGTTTCTACACCTGGTAGAACGTTAGCAAGATCCTCGGCAGCTAGCATGTCAGAAAATGAAGCATACCTGTGAACATCCTGTAATTTTATATAAAATAATAATGAGCAACTGATACCGGAGGAAGTGTAGACAGACTGCAGGGGACACACCTGAACTTGAAGCAACAAACATTTGTTGAAGAGAATCGAAGATCCTGATTCAATACTGACAACTAAAAACCATCAGGGAATGAGAAGCAAGAATGGATAAAGGGTTATTAATCCAATAACACATTTCTTGATTTTGAGCTTTGTTACACACGAATAGAAAATACAGTCACTAATGCAAGGTGTAACATATGAGAAACCGAGAGCATGGGGCCTTAAAATAACTGCATATACACAAAGCACAAAAATTATTATGCTCAAATCTTTAATCCCAAATAAATTTCATGATTGATATTGCCCGTGGGCCATAGTTATCAGATGCTAGACCATTATAGAACAGCTAACTATTAATATTCAATAATACTTCTAAATAGCAAAAGTAACTTTCTGAGGACCGAACAAGATCTCTTTTCTCTCCATGTCCCTCAGACTTGCTATTCAAGCCTACCTTCAGTTTTCAAAACCAAGCCTCCTGCCAGTGGTCTAGATGGTCACTATAGCCTAATATCTCTTCAACTATCTTTGGCCACAGGTTATTCAGCAACCTGCATCCGGCTCCAGTTTCTCAATCAGTATCTTTTAAAATCGAGGGCTTCTGAAGTCATCCCAGTTGCTTCCAGGTTTTCTTTTCTGGCCATCTTGCTCAGCACCCTCTTTGAATCTGCTCCTGCAACTCTACATTGGCCTTGATTTGGATCTATGACAGTCAAGAAACATCCTAGTTTCCTGGCAGCATCATTTTCAGGCAACAGTTGCAGTCTCGATTCTTTCGGTTGGTATTGGATCTCAGTTTATGCAAGGTCACGTTTCAATTTTGTATTCTAGAAAACAGCTGAAACTAGAGTTTAAATCATTTATTTCAAGTTGTTAAGCCAGAAAAGACTTTCTGATGCTTTACTTGCCACTAAATTATCACAAACTTGGTCCTTTAAAAGATTGCAGAAACAAACGGTATTACACCTTGATACTGTTTTCTGTCACAAAGTGTAACTATATCACGTGCAGAAAGAGGACAACATATTTAATTGCAAAGTAGTTCATATAAATAATAACTACACTTGTGTACACTAATAACTTTTGCCACGTATCATACCGGTTGTAGTCACCATCAGCACACCTTCCTTCAATTGTTTTCTGCCCATCTGCAAGTGTGGTAATAGCTAGAGAAATAAGTTTTTTACTGAACTGAGTATGTGGTAACAAACAGACCCAAGAGTTCTGCAACGACCTTTGAGCTGGGAGAAAAAAGGCTCCTGAACATGAAGTTCAAACTGTACAGTCTCCAGCATCTGGTGGTGATTTACAATTTTAACCCAAAAAAGAAAGACGAGTGTCAAAAACTAATTGTGACCCACTACAGAAATTGAAAGAAATTACACATTAAAACTTACTTTTATTAGGTCAGATCCTTTTTCCTGAATGATTTTGTTCCACTCGCATTTTTGCTGTTTTGAAGAAGAGTCTTCATGGATCAATGACATATCGGCAGACATTGGATGAATGCGTCCAGCGGGTATCGACTTGCACAAAGCTGATGCCAAGTGCTTGTATAAGGGATATGGAGGAACACCTTCAAAAAGATCAATAATCAATATCAAACTTCTGATTGTAATCCACACTAACTAATGCACAATGCAGTATGCATTCTGTTCAAAATAACTCGAGCATAGACCACAAAACACTTGGGTGGCGTTTGATTCCCAAAATGTTTTCTGATAGATTGGAATCCGTCCAAGGAATTGGAATATGTTTGTTTGGTTGGCAGAATGTAGTTTCGGAATTGAATGAAATAATGATAATTGACCAACAACCTTTTTTATGACATTCTTAAAATTTGTTATTTGACTTATAAATATTGATAAAATTACAATGTTGATGTATAAAATTTTAGTAAAAACCATTAATTAAATCAAATATAAACACTAACATGTAGTCTCTTAAATATAGTGTTACACTTCTATACACAAAGGACGTTGTATTGTTTCGTTGAGGATTTGGTCCGACCATTCAGGCAAACTTCATGGCTGCCTAAGAGGTAAACCAGGGTTAGCATACAACAATCCAAACCAACATGTAAATGTCAAACTTTAGGAATCCAATTATCAGATTGTATTTATAGTCTATAGATGTCACAACTAACAAGTTGCATAAAAATTGAATTACATGAAAGTAGACCAATATCAACAATACAGCCGATTGCAACTTTTTACATTTTGTGATGTTAGATGCAATAATAGTTTCATTTTGGAACCAGAAGACCAATTAGTTCATTCCACAAATAGTTACCTACTCTGGTTTGAAATTTATCACAAGTCCACCAATCCCAGTCCCATTGTTTACCTACGTTCTCCCTAGTACTCTAGTTTTACCTAGGACAAAAAGAAGAGTTTGCATTTTATTACACAAATTTAACCTAGTATCTTCCAAATTCAAAGTTGGAAACATGAATACTTTTGGTTTTGCAACTCTAAGGACCCATATGTTTTGCGGGATCTGGTAGGATTTGGAATTAAATTCCATTCCAATCTTGTGTTTGGTTTGAAAGAAAGTTTAGATTTGAAATATTGGGGATTTCAATGAAATCCCTCAACCGACCGATTTAGAAATTCCTTGAAGATGGCTCTCATTTCAAATCCAAATCCCATGGATTTCAATTGTTCCCGTCGCATCTCTACCCCCCCTCTTTCATCGAATCTGCCCTAATCTCTCATAGTTCATTTGTTGGTAACTTGGAGGATTAAAAGCATGACTCTTGCTTTCCATCACCTTCAAATAAACAAATATTTACAAAAAAAAATTCTATTCCAAACCCTACAAACCAAACAAGATTTATAAAAGAGTGGAATTCAATTCATTCCAAATCCTTCCCACCAAACATTCCAAATCATTCCAATTCCAATTCAATCCACGAAATCCAAATCCCTTAAAAACATCCCATCAAACCAAACCGGAAGTTGTTTTTATTCCATCATTTTACAGTTTAACGAAGTAGTTGATGTTTTCATCACATCCAAAGTAACTAGCTTGGTACTGAAGACACATGAATATCAGAAACGCCAATTGATCCCCGCCAAATTCTGCATTCAAGCCCTAACAAACACTCATGGACCAAATATGGACTTCTTTTGAGACGGAGAGTATTTGAATCAAAGGAATTTTGGCAATTTAGTTGTTTTATTAGAAGGATTACAATTGTAATTGGAGGATAATAGAAGCGAAATCAAATTTATTGAATTGGTGGAACAAGTTTGAGGTGTTAACCTGTAGATGAAGTTGAAGAGGGGTAGGTGTGACTGTAGGTTCGATCTTCTTCGTCCTCCTCGAGGAGATTGGAGCAGAATTCCTTCGACAAACCAATATCAATGGATTCTTCAATGGATAAAGCAAGGGTGAATCTTAACAAGGATTCTATGCAGTGTTTCAGTTGGAAGGTTGACATTTCAAGCAACGACGGTTTCTCCTCTTGCACGCCGTCGTGCCGGTGTTCCTCCATTTCGGACGGTTTTGTAGCAACAGATTGGTGCCAATGGAAAAAAGAAAGAGTAAATACGTTTATAGTCCATGTGGTTTTGTTGAAATTTTCACTTTTTCATTCTTATAATTTTAAAAATTACGATTTTCATCCCTATAATTTTATAATTTATTACATTTTTTATTTTTATTATTTAATTTTTTTTATTTTTTTTATTTAATATATATATATATATATATATATATATATCGATATGGAAAAAGAAATATTTTTCAACTTTTTATTTTAATTTTGTTAAGTATTACAATAAACATAAAAATGTAAAAGAAAATTAAAAAATTAGAGTAAATTATGTTTTTAGTTTTTCTGGCTTGTTGAAAATTTCTAATCTTGTCCCTGTAATTTTAAAATTTTAGTATTCATCTTTATAGTTTATAATTCATCATTTTTTTAGTCTTTATAATTTAAAGTTTATTAATTTTTTTTATTTTTATAGTTTATAATTCATTTTTATTTTAGTCCTTCGTCTATAATCTATATTATATTATAAAACATTTGACAGAAATTCTTAAAAATTATTTTTTATGTATGAAACATTGTTTATTAATACATAATACTTAAAATTCAAGTTTACAAGTAATTTTACGTAAATACAACTTATTAAAGCTCATTTTAAAATTCGTGTAACTAACTGCTATTAAACATATTCAAATACAGGATAAACATCCATTTTAAATATGTAAAATCTAAAATATAATTAAGATAATTATTAAGTTCTAACAGGACGTTTAATTATTATTTTTATAAAAATTATATTATTAACCCAAAAATAAATTACTTTGTTATTAAATCTAAATTAAATTAAAATAAAAAATTGAATTAAATAAGTTACACAAACTATTATATAATTAATTTTGTAACACCCCCGTTCCGCGTGGTTAAAGACGGGAGATGCCACAAATGGTTTAAAAAAAACAAACTCATTATATAAAACAGAACAACTAATAAAATTTACCAAAAAATAATTACATAATGACAGACAGAGATAACGTGTCTCAAAATACGGTCTCGAAATACCAATATATCTATATTAGTCATCAAAAGTTAGCAAAAGTATGATGTAATAGTTATCTTCAATATTGTCATCTCCGTAGCTCTCATCCCAAAATCTCTGCTAAGTCATGTACCTGCCGAGGACAAGAAAATCTCGGTTGAGCTTAATGCTCAGTGAACGGATAACAATATAATTAAACAATGAATATGAGATAACAAGTTCAAAAACAATTTCGCTAAGTGATAATTCAAAAGAAAGTCAAAATGCCCCGAAAGCATGTCAAGGGTACGAAGACCAAACCGTATCACGAGGACGCGTTGATTGTAACAACCCTCACATCTCAAATACATATAATTCATATCATCATTCTCATAATACTAAAATAGTATCATTACAAAACATGAACTATCAAAATGTAT